TTCAGAGGGGGAGGCTTTGTGCCTTATTAGCTGATCCAAAAGAACAGCAAGGCGTAGCAGGAAGAATCCGAAGAGGGAGAAAAGGCTGACTTCTTTTCCTCCTCTGCCGTTCAAAACCTGTTGCAAGCGACTCTCTCTCTCCCTGTTGGGGTGGGTTTGGTCACACCCGAAGAATCGGAGGAACTGTGAACAGGCAGACGAGATCCGCTGCAGCGAGTCACAAAGGGATGTGCAACCAGAACCCGGTGTGGTTGCAAAACAAGGGAATATCCGTGGCGTTGCTCGTTTTACAACGGAGAGGTTAGAAAAAGATAACAGACGACATGCCTGCCCCTACCCACCGCCTCCCGCGACCCTTGATAACACACACTCCAGAATAACGCCTGGTTCGCTCTGGTTACAGGTACACGTGAAGAGTGAAAACTTCAGAATCACTTCTGATTACGAAGCTTACTCCGAAATAACTTGTGCTTTTCTTTGATACGCATACATTTAAAAGGCTCCTAAAGAACGCCTGGATTTTTGGATTTTTGTTTTGTTTTATACCTTCACATAGAGGCATAAAACAAATTAGCCTCCAATTAGCTTAAGGTATCGTACATAAGAAGAGAAGACTCCGGGATCACTCCGGGATTTTCTTTTACATAAACCGAGAGCGAGGGAAACTCTAATAAGGATTTTCTTAAATGCAAATAAAGACACACATATTCAGATGCGTGCGCGTGTGAGTATTAAATGCGCGCAACCCCCCCCCTCCACAAACCCAGGTACGACAGAGAGAGAGAAGGCGGGGGACGAGGAATGTCCCCTTCGGTGCCAAGATCTCACATCGGTGGCCAACGGGCAGCGTCGTATCAAGTTGAATGGTTCAACGAGGGCCTTCCCATTTGTTAATTGATGCAATTACACCCCAGTGGCAATGGGCAGCCTGGTCTCTGGGCAGCCATCAATCATTCTCTCCTTGATCTGTCAGTGCCTCCTCTCTGCGGCTCTCCGCCGCCTCCCCTAGTGCTTCGCTGGGTTCCTGCTTATGCGAGGCCGTTTCCAGATTCTGGTGGGGAGGGTCCCTTAGGAGCCCCGGATTTACACTGGACGAGATGCTCGGGAAAAGGAGGGCTGGTCCGGTGGGATCTAGGAGGGAGGGCGACAGCAGAATAGAGGAGGAAGTCTCGTCTCTTCCCTCAACGCCCCAGCTAGGTCCTATTTGTCTGTTTCTGTCTGCCCCCACCCCCGGGGGAGGAAAAAAAATTAAGGGTGGGGGGACGAGCTGCTTATAGAAGGGTTTCAACTAATCATTTATCATACGGTCACAGACCCGTTCAGAGAAGGGTTTCTTTTCTGCCCTATTTTGAATTTTGGGATTTCTTGGGGACTAGCAAAAGGCAGAGAACTTTATTGAAAGTTCTTAAAACCCCGTGTGTATTTGTGTCTATTGGAAATATTCTGTGCCCCTTAAACAAAGGCGTCCCTTTTTAACCGGGCAGGAGAATATAAGTATTTTGAAGGTGCATAATCTGACCCAGAAAGGGCAAAGTATATTTCGAGGTGAGCGAGAAGTGTCCCACATGTTAAGATATGGGAGGCAGTATATGTTAGTGACAGAGTCCATACACTGAGGAGGGGGGCTTGCCCCCTTCCCTCCTCTGGCGCCACCCATGGTGAGTCCCCATGTTAGAAGAGGCGCTCCTTTCCGTGCCAGGGTGAAAGGGAGAGGTCCCTTCTAAAACTTTATCTGGGTATGAGGCAGGCAGCTAGCAACTAAGACCAGTCTCGAACTTCAGCTCCCATCGCCTGTGGTCACTGACCACGCTGGCTGGGGGTCCAAGAGTATATGGAGGGCCACAGGTGAGCCACACCTGAAACACACACGCCAAAACCCCAACTATTGTTTTATTCGTATTCCAAAGTGGGCATTGGTGAACTGAGTCAATCAATTAACCGTAAAACAGATTAATCCATTGGATTAATTATTGAAAGGCATGGCAGTCCCGATTCTCCCAGTTCCCATCCCCTCTCTCAAACACGCTGATCCAATGCATGCTTACTCAGAAATAAGTGCCCTCCGGCCCTTCCCATTGAATTCAGCTGCACTTACTCCCAAGTAAGCGTGCATAAGGTTCCATGGCGTCCTACAGCTCAACCCCGTAGAATGCATGTCCACCCAGGAGGAAGGTCCATTGAGTGGAACTTCGCGGACCGTGCATCGCACTCCGCGGATGCTCCGGATCCAGGAAGTCTGGTGCCACTCTAGAATCACCTGCTGCGCCATTTCCCTGTTTGGAAACCTAGCTCATAAAACGTGGATCCCTTGTTTAGGAAAGACGAGTCAATGATAAGAGCGGGGGAGAGAAATACGTTGAAATCATTTGTGCACTGACGACCGACAACGGGGGGAAATAATTTCTTTTACAGTAATATAATCATCACACGCCAATAAAAGTTGCGTCTTTTTACAGCCAGGTTAAATACGCATCTTCCAGGTGGTCGACGGATTGATCCAGAAGATCATAAAGTGCGTGTGGGTTGCCTGAGGGTGGAGGAGAGAGAACACAGCCTCGTTTGGAAAGGCTGCAGCAATACAAAGTTTCTGGCTGGAGGGACTACTGAAGCCCTCCATTAACTTTAGGATAGAGCAATTCCTGTGCATATCTGTTCAGAGGTAAGCCCCATTGAGTACAATGAGTACCAGGCGAGTTTGCGTATGTTTTGAGACTTTTTTGTTATTGTGTGTGTTTAGATGGGGGGGGGCGTGTTAAGGAGAAAACCTTAAGAGTGGAGATTTAAAAAGGAGATGGGATAGTAATTCTTGCGCCATCAATATACAGGTATAAAGAGCAACCCGCGCAAAAAAGGGGCTTCTCGCAGTTTACCAACCATATTTCCACCGGAAGAGGAGAAGAGAACGGGTAGGCGAGGGATGACTATGAGCAAAGATAGTTTCACCGTGATCCTCTATTATTACAGTCTGACCCCTTCTCCTTTATTTAGCTATGGGTCCAGCAGGGAAAGGAGTGCTTGTGCAAAGGGGATTCCTACGCCCCCACTGTAGGGCCTACAGGGTGACAACGGCAGGCGACGAAGTTACTAAGGATTCTGGGTGCCCATGGGGTGGCCATGGGGTTGGGGACAGGTAAGCGAGTTATACTGATTGGGGAAATGGTCTTCCTGATCTGTCATTGGACCAATGAGCTCATCCCATGCTGATGTGAGGAGTGGAAAGGAGGAAAGAAAATCAGGTCGCGATCCTGTAGGCATTTTAGCTGGCGCTAAAGCCCATTTAACTCAACTGAGTTGAACATGCCGAGGACTGAGATTAGGATTGGACCTCATAGGACGGGTATAGAGTGGTAAACAGCAGCTCCCGAGAGTTCATTTGTTCCTGTGGGGTGAGTGGGGGAGCCCCCTAGGGGAAGCAAGTGTGTTTCCCTAGGTGGTGGTGAAGGAAACGTGGTGTTTCTTCCTGCTGGTGGCGATGGCGCTGCAGTGGAGGAACGTAAAGGTGAATTCTGTCCTTTTGTGTTCTCAAATCTGGGTTTGGGTTGTGTGAAAAGAGAGAGGGGAGGGGAGAGGTATGGGAAAGCAAATAAATGAACAGCAACAACAAGAACTAGAGATTTATAGAGGGAGATATTTAACCCTTTCCCAGCAGGGACGGACAAGAATGAAGCTGCCCGTTTGTTTCACAGCAGAGGCACGATGAAGTCCTTTCCTGCGGTGATACATAGCAATTGTAATAGTAGTAATAGTTAATAATAATAATAATAATAATAATATATTCCAAAAGAAACCAAGCAAATAAACTAAGCTGTGGGAGAGAAAGGTTGTGTGAGCATGCATGTCTAATATTGTTGTTGTTTTGTTTTTGTTTTTTGCGGGGGCATCCCATGAATCCGTTTCCAACACAAACGGGTAGCAAAAGAGCGAGTAAGTTTAAGAATGCACCAGAACTCTTCCTTGGGCTGGGTGGCGCAAGCGGGAACTGGGAGTAAAGGAAACCGCGGGGAAGCTGGTTTGTCATGGAAGTCATCGCTTCTGCCTTGGTCGACAACAATGCACTTTTGTTGTATAGGCAGAAAGGGGCGTGGTTAGGGGCGGGCCTGAAGGGCGCCTGCACTTTCGAATTGACCACACGACTGCTTGTCATTACCTTCTGCAAAAAAAGAAAAGAAAAAAGAGGCAAGGTTAGGGCTCTGTCTTTAAATTTGACGTGCACAGAGGCCCCGTTCACGGAATAAATAACAACAACAATAACAACAATAATGTCAAATACAAGCAAGGGCGCCTTTTAAGATGCTCAGCGCGAGGCTCAGGATTGGCACGAAGAACTCAGGATTACTTATGACGTCACTCGGCTCCGCTGGCTGGGGAGCGGCGCGCGAAAGGACTCGAACGGGAACAGAAAAACAATGCACAAGCGAACTCTTCCACGGCTTGCCAGCTTTGACGTTTCCTTCCCACCCACCCACTCCGGGCACCCCTCCACCACCATCATCACCAATTTCTTTCCAACATCCTCCTTTCCCCTCCCCCCCGCCTCTCCAACGAAACTCGTCCTCTGTTGAGCTGTTCTCCCCCTCCATAGATTCTATCTATCTATCCATCTATAAATGATCTATATCTATATTTATAGCCCCCCCTCTCTTTCCAAGAAGCATCAGGATGAGGAGGGGGCGGGCGGGGAGCTCCGTCGGAGGCTGCGAGCCTCTTTTCCGCAGATGCCCGCTTGCAATCATTTATAATTCACGTGTGTAGAGAGGGAGGGCGGGGCGGGGGGGGTGTTGCGAAGAGAAGAAATAAAAAATAATCCATCGCAATCCTGCTCGTAATTGATCGTCATCAAGAGGCAGCGTGGGGATGGGGGTGTGAAAAGGTGGGTCGGGAGGGAAGGAGGGGGAGGACTCAGTGGCGAAGGATTTGGGGAGGGGGGGAAGAAAGGGGGGGTCACCCAAACCTCCGTTCAAAAAAAGAAAACCCACCCCAAACAAAACTGGAAAGCAACGATGTCTTTTTCACAGCTTGGATATCCTTACAACACGTCTTCTCAGGTAAGTCCAAACAGCCACCACCACTTTTTTTTTTTTTAGTGTGGGGGGAGAACCGGGTCTGTGGCGTGGCGTGCAATGTCAGGTATCTTTTCAAAGCCTCCTTTGCATTTATCTAGTTTTAATCATTTTTGTTTGTTTGTTTCAAATGAATATCTGGAGGAGATGCTGCGTCGCCCCCTCCCACCTTCCTTTGATCTGTGTGATGGGTGTCTGCGTGCGCGTGTTTGAATGAATGGGAGATATGGTGAACCGGCAGACTGCTCCTATCCAAGTTTACTCAGGAGTAAGACAGGCTGTTTGCAATGGGACTCAATCCCAATGAAAGATGCAGAGGATCGCAGCAAGAATTTGTTTTCTCATGACTACCTGTTCAGTTTTAAGTGGTGGCAAGTTTAGGCGGAAGGGGGGCGGGTGTTCCTGAAGTTCAGTTGATCTGCAAATCTCTTATTGATTTTCCACTGAAGGCGATCCGTGTATGTGTTGTTTGGGTACAGGTATTTATAGGACTGGCACAGTTTGGGTGTGCTCCCCCTCCTCTCAGCTCCAATAAATATTGACATACGGTTCTTTGAGTGAGAAAATAACTTGGAAATAAAGTTTTGCCAAGGCGACCAAAGCTGTTCTAAGATACTGACTTGGAAGATACTGACTTGGAAGGAAAGTCCTATCGATTCCAATGGAAATTATTGACTCGTCGCAGTTTTCTCACGCGAAGAGGCATTCCTACGCATACCTGGTTGAGAAGTCAGTCCCGTTTTGGAAGGGGGCGATTGCTACTGAGCCCACACGCTTTCGTAGTCCAATTTAGATTTGGATTTCGGATTCTGCTTATTCCGGTGTAATCCACGAGAGTCAGCCCCCCCCCCCCCAATTATTTGTTTTCTTTTTACCTGAGGGGTAGGCGGAGGTAGAGACCTGGGAGGGCGAGGTATGTATGTGAGAGAAAGAATAACAGCATATGCAGCCAATTAATTCAGTGTCATTTACTCTATTGTGTCATATGGTGTAATGCAAATTGCAAAAGTATACTATGACTTGATCTAGAATTCAGGAACCTACCTTACAGCGGTCCATCAAGTTCAGTATTGTCTACACTGACCGGCAGCCGTTCTCCAGGCTTTCAGGTGGGGGTGTATCTCCCAGGTTTATCTTATATATACTTTAAAGAGAGAAAAAATCGGTCTTTTAATTGACTGGTATCCGCTGCTCTCTCATGGGAGCAACCTTTCTGCTTCCCCTTGCTTTCCAAGCCTTCCTGCCTGACTTCGGTCCCAGGTGCCTCATCCCCGCCGACTTCGTGCCTCTGCGGATGAAGCTGGAAGCCTCCCACAGTATTACACCTGCACAGCCTCCCCTCCCCGCTACCTGCATTCCCCCCCATATAATTTAAGGGAAGGTGGTATCTTTTAAGAGTCTCATCCGGCTTGCCACGATGGTACCTTCCCTCTCTCTCCCTTTCCATTAAGATTTTCAAGCCACTCGGTGGATCAGGAATTCTAAGCAAAACGTTACATTCGCTTTGGGGGCTTCCTTTGCTGTAAATTGGGGTTGGCTTAGGAGACTCTGCACTTCTGGCGTCCCGCTTTGGACAGCCTCCTCCGGACCCCTGGATCTCCACAGCCCCATTGACCGGCTGGATCGTACTCAGAAGGAAGCACCGTCCGTTTCTTCAGGGCTAACAAGGGCTTCTCCCCCAGCACCCAACCACCCACTCCAAATGTGCTTTGCAATTAAAGCGAAATTGTTTCTCGACTTTCTTTCTTGCGTTTTTCTAATTATTTCTCTCTCCCTCTCTCTCTGAACTCCAGTTTTTCGTCTCAGCCACCTCTAGCACCACTTGCTGTGACTCAGGGACCCGATCCGTCTCCGATGTGTCCTCGGGATCTTCTTCCCAAACGGCCACCCTCTGCTGCCCCTCTTACGAGAACAGGCTGTTGGCCGGCTCCAGGACGGACCTCAATGCGGCGCTGGGGATGTACGGCTCGCCCTACGCAGCTGCGGCCGGCCAAAGTTACGCCAATTACCTCCCGTACGGAGCGGATCCGTCCACACTGTACACCACGCTGGTGAGTGAAGGGAAGGCACAGGCCTTCCGCTCCCCTATGACTTTCGCGCTACAATTTGGTTACTAAGAAGAAAAGGGGGCGCTAGTCCCTGTTGACCTGGTAATGCACCTAATCGTATTAGCAGTTTTGCAGCTGGGGGAGGGGAATCAGAATGCATTTACATTACAAGGCGATGATGTTTACTCGGAAGTAAAATCCTGCGCTGTTTCTTGATGTTTGGTTCCCTTCTGAGTGTCTTTCCTAGCGTACAATTCTTACTAGGAAATTATAAAGCCCCACTGAGATCCGTGCTACTTCCGAGTAGACCTATTGGGATTTGGGGAGGTCCGTGTAGACCTGTTGGGTATTGAGACTAACCTTAGGTACTCCAAGGTAGGAGTAGGCCCGCCCCACTGAACAGAACTGGGTCAAAGGTTTGGGATCCTTTCCGCAGGGCTGGGGGATATGCATAATTTTATTCTGAGCAAACATGCACAGACTCGAGCCGCCGGGCAGCGGTTGCTGTCCACACTCACCTGGAAGAGCGCGCGGGGAATTTAACTGGGATCTGCACAAAACCAAAGCGGCGTGGAAAGGAGGACTTGCGGTTGTACACAGATTCGGGTCCCCAAATTCCACAAGAGCAATTCTTAGACTCCAAGCAGAAACCTCTCCTCCACTTTCCATCGATGATTTGCGACTGTAAGCTCATTGAAGGCCGGGACCTATTGTTTTGTCTTGTTTCTTAATTGTCATGCGTTGCTCCCAAAACGATGTCAAGATAATGTAAAAATAAAATAAAATAAAGAGCTCCATCCCTGTACCTCGCTCATCATACACAAAAGGGTCTCTGCCCCGAGGTAGCTTGCAGTTATTACACTGATCAGGAGAGGAGACCAAAAAGAGGGAGACTATAAAAGAGGGAGACAATTCTATTGTCATCTCAGAAGTAATTCCTTGTGAGTCCAATGGAGCGTACACATTGGCAAATGTCATTATAATTACACCCTAAGGTCGTTTTCTAAAACTAGCATGCTTCAGAAACTTTATATTTATGATAAGTTCATTAAAAAACCTATCCCCCTTTTCTAGCCGATCCACCCATTCTTGACTTCCAAGCGAAACAAAATTTAGGAATTTTTAGTTAAAAAGCAGCAAAGTGGGACGAGCTCTGCGTTAAAGTTGGTAGGATTTTAACAATGCAGCTCCCTACCTGTTTATTTGCAAACAGGTCCCATTTGTTCAACGGCAATTGCTGCTCAGTAAATGTGTTTTAGGACTGCAGTTTCAGGATCGTACCATAGAGGTGAAAACCCAACATGGGAATTGTGTGTGCGTATAGTCAACCCTGGCCTCAACGCAAACGGGAAGAAATAGCAACTTCGGGAATCGTCCCCAAATAGTCCTGTACTCAGCTGGGGCTTACCCCCATGAAAGCCTGAACAGCCTAAACGCTCTCATTAGTCCAAAAGGTACTTAATCCGGATTAAGGAATCCAGAGAATCGGGTGCGATTTCCCACAGTCATTGCTATTGGTTAGTTGGGGCATCTCGGCCCGGAGCAGGGTGGGCTGGAAAGGAAGGAAAAAGCATGCGGGATCTCCCTTCGTACTCAGCCTTAAAACACTTTTAATGTGTTTTCTAGAACTCCCAGTACGACATCAAGGACGGCTCCTCCGCTTTGCACGCGGGGATTGCACAGCCCACGGCCGCCGCCTACTACACCTACGAGCATTCCTTTGGGCAGTACCAATACGACAGGTAACAAGCGCTTTGATCAGCCGAGCGGGAGCTCTTTAGATCTGCCCGCGACTGTTGGGAGCTACAGCAGCGGCAAACCTCCGACATTCTCCCTCCCCCGCCCTATCAATTGACTCGTCTCTTTCTGTGTTAATCCCGGGCGATCTGGGGAGCAGCCCTCAGGAATAGCACGACTCCATTCGAAGGTTTGCTTTTGCAGTGGCGCCTGGAATGCTAGGCGTGCTTTGCAAAGGGCAAAGGAGCCCCTTCCAATGCCTTTCAAGCGACTCCTCTGTACCTGATACTGAGTGGGATCACAATGACACATAGCAGCTCTCCAGGATTTCAAACAAGGAACCTTCTCACACGGCCAGAGTTGACTCTGGGGCCTTCTGCATACATTGCAGAGGGTGGTGATCCTATGGATATTCATTTACTGTCTGCATTTATATAGCTGTCCCGTAACAGAACTTTTGTGAGGGGCTCCCACAGCAATAAAATAATAGGCTAACATTAACATACAGTATAAAACAATAAAAACTAGAGCAAATCAACTGAGGGAGAAACTCTGGGAATCATAGCTCTGTGAGGGGAATAGAGGTCTCCTCCTAACAACCCTCAGCAGCTACAGTTCCCAGAATTCTTTGGGGGAAGCCATGACTTTTCAAAGCGGGATCTTAATACTTTAAATGTACATGTGAATGTGGCCTGTCTAGAGTGAAAGGCAACAGCTCTCCAGGAGATAGAAGCCCTTCTTGAGGATGCCTGAGACTAATCTGGGACTGTCTCCATACAAAGCTTGTCCTTTTGTCACTGACCTTTGTAAGCTAGTTACTCTGCTGTCAGTACAACCTTTCATCTGGCCTAGCAATATATACATGCAAAAGAGGGCAGGCCAGCACCAAGACCTGTATTTTTTCATAATAATCACTATTATAATTATTAAGCAATATAGCATTGGGGTTTGCCTAAATCTTTTTATTTGGTTCAGGCCAATGGCATCCTGTTCTCACAGTGGCCAACCAGATGCCTGTGGGAAACAGTCAAGCAGGACCTGAGCAGGAGACCACTCTCCCTCCTGTGGTTTCCAGCAGTGGGTATTCAGATGCATTACTGCCTCTGACTGTGGAAGCAAAACACAGCCATTCTGGCTTGTAGCCATTGGTATCCTCCATAAATTCATCTTTCATAGCCATCAAAAATCCTCTTTCATAGCCATCCAAATTGGTGCCCATCACTGCCTCCTGGGGCGATTCCATAGTTTAACTAGGTGCTATGTGAATAATTTATTCACTATGTGAAGTAATTATTTTTATCTGTGATGAATCTTCCAGCATTGTTCTAGTGTTATGAGACAGGGAGGAAAACTTTTCTCTACTCAATTTCTCCATGTCATGCATAATTTTATAAAACTGCAACCCAGATGAGGATCCTGCAATCCTCCAGATGTTGTTGGATCCCAACTTCCATCAGCCAGTGTGGCCAGTGATTAGGGATGATGATGATGATGATAAATATATTATTTATACCCTGCTCATCTGGCTGGGTTTCCCCAGCCACTCTGGGCAGCTTCCAACCGAATATTAAAAACAATACAACATCAAACATTAAAAACTTCCCTAAATGGGGCCGCCTTCAGTTGTCTTTTAATGATGGGAGCTGGAGTCCAACAACATATGGGGGATGCACAATTCCCCATAATTTCCCTACTTTCTGCTGGTAGACCTCTTCTGTCTTAAACTTCCCACAGCACTGAGAAGCCACAATGAGGAAAAGTATGGCCTGCTGCTTTTCTGTTTGTTATATAGCTTTTGGGTGATGTGTGTGACTGTTGTTAGGTTGAAGTCCTATATTCACTTACAAGAGAGTAAGCCCCATTGAACTTAGAGGGATTTACCTCTGAGTAAATAGGTACCACTCCAGCAGGAAGGTAAATGGCGTTTTCATGAGCTGATCTGGTTCGCCAGAATGACCCGGATAAAGCGAGATGAGCGCTGCAACCCCAGAGTCAGCCACGACTGGACCTAATGGCCAGGGGTCCCTTTACCTTTAAACGTGCATAAGATGGCATTGCCAATAGGGCTCTGAAGAGGAAGTAGTTTCTATCTCACACTATCCTGTACTTTTCTTTTTTAAATACGTAAATAGAAGAAAGTACTCACCACCTGCAAGATGCAAATGACTAGAATATTCAATTAAAATATATTTGAGTAACATTTCTCATTCTTGCCATCTTTTAGACCTGATGATAGCAAAAGGTGTAGAAATGCAATCCTTTGCAGGCATGCTCAGAAGTCCTATTGAGTTTAGTAGAACATGCTCCCCTGTAAGGGTGTATAGAATTCTATCTAAACACTCTTATTGGGGAGTAAGCTCCATTGTATTCAGTGGATCAAACTTGTGAGTAAATTTGCCTAGAATCACCAACAAATGACCTCCACAATTGGAGACATTATGCTGTTAGTTGCTGGAAACTGCAGGGGGGAAGATGCTCTTGTGCTCAGGTCTTGTTTGTGGGTATCCCGTAGGAATTTGGTTGGCATTGTGAGAACAGGATGCTGGACTAGATGGGCCACTAGTCTCATCCAGCAGGTGTGTCTTATGTTCTTAAGCCCATGAATGGGCTGTAGTTATCTTCTCATTGTTCATTTTGACACTGTTCCAATTTGTGGTTCCATTCTGCCTGAAAAGTAGCATATGCACCTCCATACTGGCTCAGAAAATCATGCTCAGCATCTCTATCTCTCTCCCAGATATGGAACAGTGGATTTTAGCAGCTCAGCCAGACGCAAGAATGCCACCCGAGAGACCACTAGCACTTTGAAGACGTGGCTGTATGAGCACCGGAAAAACCCCTACCCTACCAAAGGAGAGAAGATCATGCTGGCCATCATCACCAAGATGACCCTCACTCAGGTCTCTACCTGGTTCGCCAATGCTCGGAGAAGGCTCAAGAAAGAGAATAAGATGACCTGGTCTCCAAAAAACAAAGCAGGAGAAGAGAGGCGAGAGGATGGGAGAAGGAATGGTGAAGACTGTGGCAGTGAAAATGAAAGCAAAGGTAGGCTTGGAAATGGACTTGCTGGATGCCTCTTGATCTAATCTACTTTACAGAGTGGTTGTGAAGATATAATGGATTCTTTGGAAGAAAACATAAAATAAAGTAATTATTATATTGTATTTCCTGGAGCCATCTGGTTGACCACTGTGGAGTGCAGGGGGCTGGTCTTGATAGACCAGGGTGGAGAACTTTTGGGCCTCCAGAGGTTGCTGGACTGCAGAATCCATCAACCCCAGATGGCAGGATCAAGACTGATGGGAGTTGTAGTCCAGCAACATCTTGAGGGACACAGATATTCTCCAACTCTGAGATACTGTAGATCTTTGATCTGATCTCTCAAGGCTCCTCTTATGTTCAGTTTTTGATGCCCTGCTGGATCACACCAAATGTCTATCAAGTGGTCTACCAGATGCCTCCAGTAAGCCCACAGCGCCCCACCTGTGCTCAGTGGTGTACTGTCTCTGCTTTGAATACAGAATCCAGCCATCACAATGAATGGCCGTTGGTAGAACTGTATTATTATTTTTCATAAACCATCTTAAAAGCTATCTAAGGTAATGGCCAACACCACATCTCTGTAGCAGGAAGTGCCATAAATTTGATTATATGTAGTGTGACTAAATACACACACACACACACACACACACACACACACACACACACACACAATTTTGTCTAATGTCTAATTCAATATCGGATATGAAGGGAATGCCTTATTTGCTTCTTGTCCTTGGTATTTAGCTAGAGGTTGTCTGAATGTGAAAGTACTAAACTATCACTGTCTGTAAATGAGAAGTGCAAAGTTCTGATCTCCTTGCATTTTGGCATGGTAGTTCAGGGCTGGCCGGCCCAATACATTTTGCCGCTTGAGGCAAAACTAGTCAATTGTGCCCCCCGCCACTTCTCCTCTTCCCTTCCCCCACCGCTACCACCTCCTCCTCCTTTTCCACCTGAGGTGATTGGAGGTGGCATAGAAAAGCCCTGGCATGCTGAAGCTGGTGGTGGAGAAAAAAGGCCAGAGTGGAGAAGGCAGTGCTAGTGGTGGCCCCATTCTTCTCAAGTGGCAGCCATGAGTGAAAAACTCAAGAGGCAATAAGTGGTCTTCTCCTTGGGATCCCGGATCCACCACCCCTACCAGTTGTCCCCAGCCGGCCACCTGAGGTGACTACCTCATTGAGGCTAGTGTGTGGCCTGGCCTTGCAGTTACTCAACCTTCTTGTGGGTTGTTGTTGGTGTTTACACATATCCTTTCTGCCCCTGCTTTTCGTTCCAAAATACAGATCCCAAAAGATGCAAAGAAGAAAAGGAATTGCAGTTGAGCGATCTGGAGGACTTGGACGAGGAGGAGGCTGAAATCAAGCTGGAGGCTGAGCCGAAGCATCCACACCAAGAAGGCCCTGGTGTGGGCAGCACCTTGGCCGAGACAGAAAAAAACAACTGCAACCTTAGCCTGCCCAGCCACTTTCAGGCCTTCCCCTGTGCCAAAGCTGACTCGGCACTTACGGGGGACTTCCTTGGCCACAAGGGAGGAGCCACCTTGGTGGGTGGCCTTGGAAATCATGGCCAACCCTACGAAGCCCCTGAGAAGCCCAGGATCTGGTCTTTAGCTCACACAGCGGGGGCCAATGTGATTGTGGGACCCATGAGCCATCCTGCTCAAAGGACAGAGAGCCCTGACTGTTTGGTGCTAAGAGGAAGGCCCCCTGGGGCTGTGGGACAATGCGGTGAGGAGAGGCCCCTGGGCAGCCTTGTGAGAACACAGTCTATTCATGACAAGGCCTTGGAGGAGCTGGCTCAACCGACCAAGATCTTTAAGAATTCGACCTTCAACCTGCAGTCCATCTCTTTAAACTATGCTTCCTATCCCATGCTGGGCGAGACCTGTCAGTATTCAGCAGGAACTGAAGGTAGCCAGCTTCTTGAGATTCCCCCCTTTCTTTCCATATCCAGAAGCACTGCTTGATTTTAGTGAACGGAAGTTTATGTGGTGTAAAAAGCTCTGCCATGGTTTTCTAGGTCCAGGACCACATAATGCACAGCCATTTTTCATGTAGTTACTGGATGCTAAATTTCTCCCCTCTTTTTGGGGAAGGAGCACCGATGTCCTCTTCTGCATTATCCAAAAGATGAGTGAGCTTAACTTGGATTCTGAGAAATCTTTGACAAGTCGGTGGATTCACACAACCATTTTGAGTTGGCAAAGTTATTCAGAACCTTCCTTGTCTTTGTGGCGAAACAGTGACTGGTTATCCTTCTGAAAATGTTTGAGGTGTGGGTTGATCCATGCGGTGGTGGAAACCAGGATATCATCAAAATGTGTCTGGATGTGTCAGTGTCAGGCAGCTAAGTCAATGTGACAAAAGTAGAAAGAGAAATTCAGAATTAAATTCAGGAGCCTTGGCCAGTTCAAAATGGTCTTGTGAATCCATCTGTTTCTCAAAGAACTTCTGGGAAGTAATGATCTTTCCATGTAGTAGAGTGTAGTAGAGTGTCACAACATGACAAGGAAAAGTCAATGTGCAATAAGTTCACCACTTATTTTAAAATACGTTAGTGGCAAAAATCAAATGTATGTCCAGCAAGAGAACAATATGGTGAAGCTGCTAGGTATCATATAGTTAGGTTTTGACTGAATGGTGAAAATGGACCTCTGTACATGCTCAGAGCCATGTCCTCACTGGTGATCCAACCTACAGGTACAGGGGGAAATAGCCCCTTTCCTTGAAAAGATTCAGATTTGATCTGAAATGATTTTTTGTAGGGGGGGGGTTAGAAATTTCCATCTGGAATCTTCAACATAAGCCTTAAAACCTGAAGGATTCTTCGTATGTCTTGCTGATTAAAGTTAGCACAGCAAGGTTCAGCATTTGATTAGTGCATTCAATAAATCATAATAGAATTGTAGAGTTGGAAGGAACCCTGAGGGTCATCTAGTCCAACCCTCTGCCCACAGCTGTCCCAGGGTGGCCTTGAACCACTAACTTTCTGGTTAATAGCTGGACCCATTGTGCCACCCACTGTTGTGTGGTAACCAAGGCTCAACCCTTCAGATGAATTCCAATTTCTATCAGCCCCAGCCAATGTGTCCAGTGGTCCCTGAAGATGGGAGCTGTAGTCCAACAACATATGGAGGGAAAAACATTGGCTGCTTGTGCCCTAATGACTAAAGATACATTAATGCAACCACATTTTGAATGTTACTCCCCACCCCTCACTCCCACCCTATGTTTGCTTCCCTGGGAGTATGGCTTACTGAACACACTGGAACTTATTTCTGAGTCAACTTCTGAAACTAGAACGTGAGGATCTCAGGTTGAATTAAGTGCCACCTAGGGTCAAAATAAGCTGTCAGAAAACTGTCCTTCCTTTTAATATTTTTTTAGAGGTTGTTGTGTGTTTCTTCTGTGCTATGTATTGCTGTGGTGTTGCTGAAGTGCACCATTTGACTTCATGGAGACCTTCACCATCATAAGCGCATACAGGAATGCAGAATAATAATAATAATAATAATAATAATAATAATAATACTCCACCCATCTGGCTGGGTTTCCCCAGCCACTCTGAGCGGTTCACAGCATATATAAAAACATAATAAAACATCAAACATTAAAATCCTACCAATACAGGGCTGCCTTCAGATGTCTTCTAAAAATTGTGTCCTTCTTTATCTCCTTGACATCTGAAGGGAGAGCATTCCACAGGAAGGGTGCCACTGACAAGCAGGACCTTCTGGTTCCCTGTAACTTTGCTTCTCATAGTGAGGGAGCTGCCAGAAGACCCTCAGAGGAGGACCTCAGTGTCTGGGCAGAACAATGGAGGTGGAGATGCTGCTTCAGGTATACTGGGCCAAGGCCATTTAGGGCTTTGAGGGTTAGCACCAACACTTTGAAATGTCCATCTAGCTCACTATTGTCTACACTGACTAGATGCAGTTTTCCAGGGTTTCAGACCAGGGTTTCTCCCAGCCCTGCTTGGAAATGTCAAGGATTGAACCTGGGACCTTCTGGTTGCTCTACCACTGAGCTACAGTCCTCACTCTGTGCAAATGAATACTTCTGACAGACAAATGAGAGGTGTTAGCAAAGCAAAGCAAGCTTCAGGAACACACTTATAAATAAGCAAACAGAACCACCATAAAATCTTGCAATGCATCCTGAGCTCTTACCAGGAGAGCTTCTATTCAGGTTTCCTGCCAGCCATCCCTTCCTCTAGATACCATCAGTTGTTAAGGGGCTGAAGCAAGAACCTTTTCTTCTGCAATTTGTTTTCTTTTCCAACTGATGCTCTACATTCTGTAGGTACGAATCATGTTCAGTCTTTGTAAGGCTATATTATGGAGCTTTTGTCCATTTTTTTAAAAAAAAACCTTTTTATTTTATTTTTTTTGTATTTTTGAAAAACTTCAGGTTTCCCCAAATAGGTGATCATAGACACTCCTGCCTCACTTTTTGCATTATTTCAGTTGGCACTTAGCACTTGTTCATTACTGTAGTGATTATCCCTTTCCCCTTCTGAAATTCGTAGCATGGACATTCCTATAAGGACAGTGTTATGCTGAAACTTAGAGAGCTTCCTTAAATCTTGAACTGCACGTATGGAAATGACAAACAAGGAATGGGTTTTTTTTTCTTGCAGTGTTCCCTGAATTGTTACAGAGACATTTTACGATATTAAATGATGGACCAAGTTATGGCTGGAAATACTGGCAAATATTGGAGAGACATGTCATTGTTATATCAAATTACAGAATTGCAGTATTGGAAGGGACCTACAAGGGCCATATAGCCAAACCCTGTGCAATGCAGGTATCACAGCTAAAGAATCCCTGAGAGATGGCCACCCACCCTGTATTTTGAAACCTCTTTACGGAGAGTCCACTACCATCTGTGGTAATCTGTTCCACCGTAGAACAGCTCTTACCATCAGAAAGTTCTTCCTACAGTTTAGGTAGAATCTCCTTTCCTGTAATTCAAATCCATTGGTTTGGGTCCTACCTTCTGGAGCAGCAGAAGACAATCTTGCTCTATCTTCCATGTGAAAGTGAATTTACCATTTCTTCTGCCACTGCAGCTCTGATATATCATCTGATTATCTCTGATGGCTGCATCTCTCAGTTGACAGAGCTGGGATGATACAATCTCATACTGTGTAGAGATGCAGCAAAATCTGCCACACACACCTGACATGGAGGCCAATGAGAAGAAAACCAGGCCAGAACAGGGACTCATTCAGAGGCACAGAGGGCAACCTCTGTGAATGGGCTCACATGAATCTTTATTTCAGTTTGTTTCTCTTTTGCAATACAATGGGAGTTTAATTTTGGGGATGGAAAGAAATAAGGCAGGGATGGGGAGCTTGTGGTCCTCCATATGTTGCTGGATTATAACCCTTCATGTGGCTTGGACTGATGTGGGTTGGAGTCCCAAAACATTTGGAATGCCACAGGTTCTGAAACGAAGGTCTGACAAGGGGGGAAATGGCTAAGTTGCATTCAAATATCTCAATGCTGGAGTTCTGACACCTGCTTAAGAAAGGTGATGGTGGGGCAGAGGTGGCAGTTTTCACCAGCTTCACTGCAGTTCCCCATGCCCACCAAGACTATAATTGCTCTGGAGGGTTGGGAGAACCAACTGGAGCAGCATGTGGTCCATTAGCACAGGGATGGAGTACCAATTGCCCTCTAAATATTGTTGGACTCAAACTCCCATTTGCCTCAGCCAGCGTGGCAAATGGTGAGAGATGATGGAAGTCCAAAAATTCCAGGCTCCTGTTTTTTGCAGTAATGCCTCCACTAGACCATTTGGATCCAGCATATTGATTATGGAGTCATTTGCAGTCAAAATCTGGGAATGTTGGAGAGAGTTGGGAAAGTTGTCCACTGACTCTGATCAAGTATGGTGGTTTTTAAAACAACAACAACACCCCAAACAAACATTTTCTTTTGTTAAAACAGGGTTTGGGAGAAACATGAGAGGCACTCAAGGTTCCCTAGACCTAAGCGAAGTCTGTCTCAGTCAGCATAAAGACAAACTGAGAACAGCTTTCAGGCCAGTGCTGAAGAGGTGAGAAAGGTGAGTGCCGGAAGAGTTTATACTGTAAGCTGTGATTGCTGAGAAATGCCTCAGTTTAGGATTTCCACCTTCCCCAAAGGTACCTTATCTGTAATTCATTGAGACATAGAAAGTTGCCTTAAACTGAGCCAGACCACTGATCCACATAGCTCAGTATTGTCTACACTGACTGACTGCAGCTCTCAAGGGTTTCAGACAGGGGTCTCTCTCAGCCATACCAGGAGATGCTGGGGATTGAACCTGGGGTCTTCTGCATTGAACCTGGGGTCTTCCCTAAAAATAAAAAACCCAGATGGACTCAGAAGAGTGGCAGCTAGTCTCTTAGGCATATAGGAAACTGCCTAGTACTTCAGTTCAAATATATACTCTATCATCTATCTATCATCTATCTATCTATCTATCTATCTATCTATATCTATCTATCTATCTATCATCTATCATCTATCTATCATCTATCTCTATCATCTATCTATCTATATCTATCTATCATTTATCTATCATCTATCTATCATCTATCTGTCTGTCTATCTATCTATCATCTATCTATCTATCTATCATCTATCTATCTATCTATCTATCATCTATCTATATCTATCTATCTATATCTATCTATATCTATCTATCTATCTATCTATCTATCTATCTATCATCATCTATCATCATCTATCTATCTATCAATCATCTATTTTTCTGACATCTATCTATCTATATCTATCTATCATCTATCTATCTATCTATCTATCTATCTATCTATCTATCTATCTATCTATCTATCTATCATCTATCTATCATCTATCTATCATCTATTTTTCTGTCATCTATCTATCATCTATCTATCTATCTATCTATCTATCTATCTATCTATCTATCCACCTATTCCTTGGATAGAAAACTCTATTATCTGATTCCTATTTTGTACTTTTATGTTGGTGTAACCTGCCCTGGGTAGTTCAGAAATCTAATTAATATGAAGAATATTTTTCACTCAATGCCAGGTGATGTGCTGATCTCTTTTCTCTTTCTCAGGCTCATGAAATCCAGCATGCTGGTGAAACATCTCAAGAAGATTTGGAACTTGCAGGCTTTCAGAAGGAACACCCGTCATTCCCAATGCAAATTCCCTTTCTCTCTTTATCTCCGTGTGTATGTATGTGTGTTTCTTCTCCCTCTCTCTTTCTCTCCACACCCTCCAAAGCATGAACTGCAGCTACAGCTTCTCATGGTAATGGAAGAGAAGAGATGATATTATATATGCACAACTTTCAAGGGACACCAGAGGAAGTCCAACCAGGAAAGCAGCTGTAGGATCTTGTCTGTGCTACATTACATGAACACATCCCACACACTGAATTTTGCCACCAGATATATAATTGGACTAGTAATGTCTAGTAAGTTTCAAAAAAAGTTTCAAAAAATGCATCCTGATTTTTGGGGAGGCTTTGGCTTCTGTAATAGACCTACATTGTCTTCTGTGAGAGGCAAGCTGTCAACATGGTTGCTGAGAGATCGTTCAATCTTCCTCTGTTCCTCAAAAATCTATGTGGGATATGGGGGTTCTTCTTTCTTCCTCCATCCTTTCAAAAACAAACAAAAATGACACTTTTTAAAACCCCTTTGTCTTTTTTATTTTTTAAATAAGAGGTATTTGTCAGCCATGTTGTCTTGTACTCTGAAGGGGATTCTTTGGTAGTGCAAAATGCAAGTCTGTTATTTTCTGTCCTTGTACAAAGATATCACGGGAAAGTATTTTTTAAAGTCTCTAATTAAAAACCAAACAAATGAATGTTGTCAAAACAGAAGTGTGACCTTGAAAAGGCCGTGTGTGTGCGTGTGTGAGAGAGAGCAATACCAAGCTGTCATGCACTTTATTTATTTCTCATCTATTTATTTATTGCACTTCCCAACCACCCTTCATCCAAATAAACCCCAGGGCAATTTGCAAACAGATCAATAAAATGCAGATAAAAATATAAACTATCAATTCTGGTGCAGAATGTGGCAGCTAGGTTGTTTGTGGCAGCAAACTACCACCAGAATAAAGCAGCCAACTAGCAAAATTTTTACCAGTTACCAATCTGCTGCTGGTGTTGGTACTAACATAAAAATCCCTATATAGCTCAGGAGCATGTTACTTGAGAGACTGCCTTATCTTTTATACATCTTTTATACATGCAATAGTATGTATAGTATGTATAGTATGCTTCTCCTGCAAGTTCCAAAGGCCTCAGAAACCTGCTCTGCAGGAACTCAGATTACAGTTTTTAGTGTGGCTGCCCCTGTTCTGTGGAAGAGCATTCCTGTTGAGATACAATAGGGATCCACTATTTGCACTTTCTGGAAACAATTGAAGACATTTTTGTATCCACAGGCTTTCCCAGATGGATAAATTGGTGTTTACCACAAGGGCCCGCTTGTTAGGGTTTTGGTCTTCTTTTAAATGTATTAGTTGTTTTTGTGTTTTTAACCGCTTTTAATTATTTTGTATGCAAATCACTTTGAGGCAGAGGTTTACAAAATGATTGATAAACCAGTGATGATAATGATAATAATGTATCAGCAATTGAAACATGGTAGAAATACAACAGCCTGCATAATACACCCCAATTTCTGAAATCTTGGAGAGTCTAATCAGCAGCACCAGAAGCCTGGATGAAGAAGTGTGCTCTTACTTGGCACCAGAAGCCCATTGTTTCAATAGCTAAGTTCACCTCTAGGTAAAGGTAAAGGGGACCCCTGACCGTTAAGTCCAGTTGCGGACTACTCTGGGGTTGTAGAGTGGGCAATTCTGTGGCCTGGCTGCCACTAGAAAAGGCTCTGTTTCATGTTGCCATACAGCAAACAAACCCTGCCCATGGGACAAGAGCCACTGTCGTGTGTCAAATAGACTGTTGGAATAAGAGCTGGGAGACAAGGGTTGAAATCTTAATTCAGTCATGAAGCTCACTGGGTGACCTTGGGCCAGTCTTGGGCTGGATTGTTGTGCGGATAAAAGGGGGAGAGGGGGCACCATATACTCCTTGAGCTCCTAGGGGGGAAGGTGGTATGATTGTAAGAACCTCAAGGCCCTGGTTACCTGGTATAAGAGACCCAACAGCTGCTGGAGTCCCAGGATGTTAAGGGTTTTGTATGTCAACATGAATACCTTAGTTTTTGCCCAGTAATGTTTCTCTTCACTAACAAACTTGGGGGCTAACGCAGACCACTTAAAATAGGTGTGACATGATCCTGCACAGATGCTGTAAGATAGGCACCCTACTATCTACAGTTTGCACAAGCTGAAGTTTCCAAACTGTCTCAAAGGGTAACCCCACATACAGTGCGTTACAGTAACCCAGACACAAGGTTACCAGAGCATGTAGAACTGTAGCTAGACTATATATATATGGAAGTGGCTATAGCTGACAAACCAGCCAGAGCTGGTAAAAGGCAGTCCTAGCCACTGAAGCCATTTGAATGTGACCCCATATAGAACAGGCCAATTATTAAATTCCCAGACATTAGAACCTCCCACCAACAGTTCCTCCATCTTGTCAGGATTCAACTCATGTAGGGAAAAGAGTGACTGTCCATCTGATCTGGTAATGCCAACTTTGGTCTCTCCCATTATTTACACTGGAAATGATTATAGTTGCTGGAGATTTGTTTATTTTGTTACATTTTTCTCCGATTCTCTACATATATACTTCTTCCACCTGCATGTTATCCTCTCAACAACCTTGTGAATCAGGTCAGGCTGAGAGAGTGACTTGCCCAATCTCAACCAGTGAGTTTAAGGGAGAGTTGAAAAAAGGTCTCCATGGTGCTTGTCTAACACTGTATAATGTTTAGAATTCAACTGCTATACTGCACTACACTGCATGGAAAGCATGTGCTCTGTCACTGCACTATGAGGTCCTTTCTTCTTTCCTGTCCTTTAGAATTATAGGGACAACAGACTAAGAGTTCATAATGTGCATAGGTCACAGAGTAGGACAAGAAACCTGGTCTGGCACTGGATTTCAGGACCTTGGACAGCTGGTTGGTCCTACAGTCTGTACTCGGGTCTGGGCACAGGAGATCCCATTCCTCTGAATATGTGTCTGGCTTGTTGAAAGAGAGCATGGCACTTCCTTCCGGGAGAGAATAACCATGTTCTGGAGCAAGCAAAGTAGGACATTGTTAGTGGGTCATCATCCCTAATTCAGTGAAAAGAGCAACACTGCACTGGACAAGGATGAGACAGAAAGGAGCAAACCCTTCTGCATTCTTCAGTTTTAATTAAAAGTGTCACAAAACACTTTCTCGACAGACTAATAACCCACACAGAGGCCAAGGGAAGAATGTGGCTTTGTTCCATCCACGCACCCATCCCCCAGTCACTGGAAGCCATGTCCATAATTTAATCACTGTGCTAATTAGGAGGTCATCTGTAGATCAACCCAATACCAGCTTTCCCCCAAGTTCAACAGGGTCAACATTTTACATTAAGTCATTTGTGATCAATAAAGCCCAATGGATTCTGCTTTCATAAATCAGTGCAATCAATCCAGGATATTGAGTCAAGATTGATTCATGGATTTGAGGCAAAAAAGGGGCAGTAACTTAGGGGTGAAGGAAGGTGTCGGGTTTGGGAGGCAATACGGTCTATGGCCCAAACTCATATTATTGTGGACTGATTAACACATGCTTACAATCACTTGGTTATCCAAACTTGAATTAAGAAAATTAGAAGAGCCTTGTTGGACCAGACCAAAGGCCTATCTTGTCCATCATTCTCCTTTCATAGTGGGCAACCAGATGCCTATGGGAAGCCTGTAAGCAAGTCATGATTGCAACAATGGCCCAATCATGATATCCAGCAACCATATCTTTTCTGGTATGGAAAATAATACAGTACTTGTGACTAGTAGCTGAATGAGTGAACAATCTCCACTGAAAAGCACGTAGTTTGGGGTGATACGGAGTGATGCTAGGACTATGACAAAGTCATTCTGCTAGGCAAACCCTCTGCT